CAAGAAAGCACTCACAAAAACCTAGCTTTCAGAATACCATTTCTTGCTGTATACTTAATACAATTTAAAAGTTGAATATATTTACCAAGAATAATATCCTTCATTATAAAATAGTTTATTTCTAACTCTTTTTTTTCATTAGTAATTGGGGCCAATAGTCAGTTCAGGCCAATTCTTAATTGAGAAAATAAAACCATATAATTTGGTTGTAAAAAATGAGGTGGGCTTACAAATCAATAAAGGAACAAATTAAAAAGAGGTCCAAAAACAAGCCCTACTTGCCACACTGAAAATATTAATTGCATGGGGATATGTCTCTAACTAGTACTGGCTAGGTTGTTTCTGTACACATGTCTCAGAACAGGGTCTTTGTTGAGTTTATTCAACTAAACTGGTAAGTAATTACTCAGTCAAGCCTGTGGATGATTAATAAAAGCTTCACATAATCTGTGTTGTACCAGAGAATTTCCTGAAGAAATAGGTCATACGGGCAAGATTATTCCATATGGTAATTGCACTAAAACAACTGTTAAAATAATGAATACTACTACTACTACTACTACTAATGAATTGAGTCTTTTATTGGGGCTTTATTTGATCTATTTGCTAAGTTAGCTTTGTTGACTAGGTTAACTCTGTGGTTCTTAATCCTGGTTACACTTTAGGATATCCTGGGAGGTTTTAGAAAACACAGGTGCTGAGCCCTTTCTCAGCCCGATCTACTGCTTTGTGGTTGGGACCAGGAACTGGTTTATTTTTCAAAGCTCCTCACTGGATTCTAATGAACAACTGGGGCTGAGAACTACTGAGTTGGATAATACAGCAGAAAGGTTCCAGGCTCTGGAAGATGCCTGAGGAGTTGGAGCTCAGCTTTCGTGTTCTCATTATCACTGAGTGACTGATGAGTCCTTTCATCATTTACCTTGCTGGCGACACTTCTGGTCTGAGCAATGAGCTCTCGGATCCTCCTGATGCTGGCAGAAACGTTGCTTGCAGGCCGTTTCTGCTCGACTGTACGAAGCTGATCCAGGAGCTGAGGAACAACCTCTGTCAGATTTCTCACTGCAGTTGATGAAAATTAATCACTTGAGTAAATATCTCAATGTTAAGTATATTTCAGGAATCAGGTAATGAGACAACAAACGTGATTACTTCTGGTAGAACTATAAGAAATTATTTTTAGTCCTGCAAAATTAATAGTAAAGCCTAAAACATAATCAATTCCTATTTTCTGACATTGATAGTACATACAGATTTATAAATTATATGTGGAGCATGCTGACTTATAATGCACATTTCTAAAGGGCAGGATCCATGACAAATATACAGACGTTCCTGTAACCATACAGCACAGGTTCTGCTGGCATTTCTAATATAATTTATATAACAGGTCAAAAGGAATGCTGGGTGAAAGGAGGTGGAAATGTTGTTTTCTAGAATGTGCAGGCAGACATCACACTGTCCCAGCAGAGGCAGAGCTAGATGGAGGAAATCAAGTAGCACTCAGAAAAGTGGCAATTGAGCCAAGGTGAGGGTGAGCAGGATGGTCTGTGGGCCCAGACAAAGGGCACATCATACTGACCTTGTTTTTCTTTTTAGTCCTGGACTTCCTGCTGGAGAACAAAACAACCTCTGGGCATTGGGTGGGGTGGAGCAGCAAAAGAGGAGGTGCTGGGGCAGGGCACAAACTCCCCTTGACCCAGCCTAGTGCAACTGTACCCCTGGGACTGCAAATGACCTGCTTCTTAGGTACTTTTTCTTTTTGGAGTGCATAACATACACAAAGAGCACAAGTCATAAGGATACAGCTTGATGAGAGAAATCCAAACACAGAGAATGGCATAACTTTTTCCAAAGTTTCATTGACTGAACAGTGGTTCCTAAAATGTGGTCCCCAGACCGCCAGCACTAGCATCACCAGGAAACTTGGAAGTGCAAATTCTTTGTCCTCATCCGAAACCTACTGAATCAGAAATTCTGGGAATGGAGTCCAGCAATCTATGTTTAACAAGCCCTCTGGGTGATTCTGATGCACACTGATCAGAACTGCTTTAGAACCACTAGACTAGAGGGTGAATATCTTTTGGGTATTCTCTTACCTAAGGGCAGAACTATGGCCATTGAGCATTAGCAGCTGGGCAAGAGCAAGCCTCTCACTAGAGCCAAACTAAACTCAGGTTCAGAAGACTATATCAATATGGGTCAAAGAAACATCTCTTCTCTGTACTTAAGAAACAAGGTGTTTCTCCAGTACAAGGAATGAAATTAAGTAAAATAATAGCAACTATAGTTTAATATATTGATTAATACAGAGATAAATATTCATTGTTTGGATCACTGATCATGATATCCATTTTGTAGTATAGTTGCCTTTAAAAATTAGAGGTAATAAAGTATATTTGAAGCATTACTTTACATTTTGGTTATAGAAATGTATATAAGACAGGATTCCCCTGCCCTCAATTCTCTCAGGAAAAGGGAGCCACCTTCTTTTAGAATCTTTTAAAATTAAATCTCATATTATGGTCTGCTCTTTCATTTGCTTTGTCTTGAACCACAAAATGCTATTTGAGAAAAACACAGTAGCCTGAAACAATTTCAATTAGTGCTGGATGCTAATTGGAATCACCTGATAAGACTGGTAAAGCAAAAAAAGAAATTTAACACAGATTTAGTAAATATTCTTGAGGTAATATCTTTATAAATGTTGGGTGTCATGCAGACAAATATTTTAAAGATAAAATTTTAAAAGCAATTAAGTGAGTGGTTACATGGAGGAACTAATGAATATGTATTTAAAAGATGAATATAAAAGATCTATCTTCCTGATGGGAATGGGTGTTTGTGACCTGGGATAAAATTTCTAGTGACAGATCATATATGGGCTCATAAAATTGTTTTTTAATTCAGATGCAGATGAAGGTAATATAGTATGCAAAACCATACTGGAAAACTAGAAGTTTCAGTGATGATTCGTCATGATATGGATAAACATTGATATTTAAGTGGTATAAAAGATTGAATAACAATGTGAGAAA